AACCCATACCCCATATACGGCGGGCACAGCTTATGCTTGCTATGCTTACGGATATTATTTTCCATTTTTTGGAGCTGATCTCACAATATTTTTTATTTCTTCATTATTTTATTTCTTTTTTTCTTTTTTGCCTTTAATTTCTTTTTTATTTCTCGCTTCTATGGTCCCAGTTGAACCCCTTTTGTGAGTTTTGCGTGAAAATGATCAAAGGGTCACATAAAAAAAACCATCCGCGAGCGAATGATATCGCCCCCGGGTTCAGTCCGATGAAATGATTGCGTTGGAATGTCACCGCTATAGCATTTTGAGCTCGTTTTTCCTCTTCGAGCTTAAAAGACTAATTCAGATTTAGAATTATCAAAATCATTTTCAGAAACCCACAAACTACCGCTACATAAACGTTGTTGCCTCTTCCTCAGTGCAGAAATTTGAAAAACGTGTAAGTGTTTATCAGTTTCCTATGACGTCATTCTCGTTTTTTTTTTAAATAATGGGCCGTATGCTATCCTCCCCGAAGGGGTTGGGGGACGAAAATCCTTTAAATTTTCTCTGTCTTCCCATCTGGGATTGCCCTGATAAAGGACCTACATTTAATGTATGTATGTAGGTAAAAGTAAACATGCACTGAAAATGAAGAAACTATATCGTTCAAAACAAATAAATTTAAAGGAAACTTTGGATCACTTAGCTTCGGGGAAGCATAGCATACGGACCATTGTCTCTTTCGTCTTTTTTCTACAAGAGTTCAATATTTCATTTTCAGATGGATTTTCGGATTCCACACTTCGTGTTGCACGATTTCAGCGATGGCGAGGAATCAAAAGTGATCCGTATGATTCTCACTTACGCTCGGATACCGTACGAATGCAGAGATATCAATCGCGATGATTTCATCCTAGAAGGTACTGCTCATTCATTTTTTAATCCGGAACTCTTTTGTGTTTTGGCGTCACAGCGACTACGCTGGGTCTAATTTATTGCTTCTGAGTTTTCACGAGCTCAGCCTCTTTTTCAAGTTTTTCGGGTGCGAAAAAGTCACTGAAAGGGAGCAGTTATGGGTCTTTGTGTTACCAATGAAGGGTATGGGGCAGTTTGTTCGGCGCTGGTCAATTTTAATGAGAACACCTGGAAAACTTTCATTCCCTTTCTCCGCTACCTGCTATAAACGTAATGAACTTACAGTTAGAGCTCTGAGCACTGGTATGCTGGTGTTGATCTTTACCCAGTAACCACTTGAGAAAATGTTCTCTGTTATTCAAGAACTATCCCATTCTTTCTCTTCCAATGTTGGAGGTGAACGAGCGTAAACTCGGTAATGTGCCATCAATTTGCCGGCAGTTGGGCTGGAGATACGGTAAGCGTTTACGCCTAATCGAAAACACTTTATTCATCAAACATATCTAGTGCACGGCCTAACGATTGAGCAGGTTCTTAGAACATTTCAAGGAGCCTGAAGATATACTGGCTTGATTTTCGTGTTTCGGCGCAGTGTAATCCATGACTCGCGAGGCACTGAGGCTACTTACAGTAGCGTACAACATGCACTGCCATGTTTAAAGGACGAATTCACGATGAAAAAGCAACCCATTTCAAATTAACCTAGGGATGGTGAGTGGTACACGAAAGAAGGAAGAACCATGAGAAACGGCCCAGAACCCGAGAAATGGTACCCTTCCTTGCCCGTTGATTCGAGCATTGATGCGACTCTCATCGCTGTGCCCTCTTCAACACTACGCTCTCTCAGCTATCTAATCACTCGCCACGTATTGAACTACGGCGAGTGATCAGATGATCGGTGGGCGGAGATCGCCGGACCCGCCAGCTTTGAGGCATGATAGGTCGCCGAGGTCAAATTTTTCCATGCGAATTGCGCGTCAGTTCGCACCCTCAGGAGGTCCGTGGGTCCCTCAACTAGGTCAGTTTCCCTTTCTTCGACCTTCATTCTAATCGTGAATTCCTCCTTTAAGGGGAGGGTACTAACTTCGTCACCCTGTATCACTTGTCGTCAGTCCTCGAGCTGGCCGCCTGTTCTGCATCGTTCCTGTCGGCGGCGAAAGTACTCCTGCGGTTTCCTTCGCCTCGAAGAGATCTAAGTCGACATTCTCTTCTGAACCTTCGTGAAAAAGGCCCCGACGAGTCGTTTGGTCGTCCAGGTGTTCGTTTGACGTCCCGAGGGATCCAGTCGGTAACCGCTCTGGTCCAACGGTCATCGCAAAATCGCATGACGTGTCCGGCCCACCTTATCTTCGATTCCTTGGCGAAAACGGCAGCGTCCCTGATCTTCGATCGTTGGCGTAGTTCGGCACTCCGGATTCCCCTCTGCACTTGCGTGTATAGGGTTACTCCTAGCATCGTCCTCTCGACAGCGCGTTGGATAACGCTGACCGCATGCTCGTCCTGCCTGCGCAGAGTCCAAGTCTCTGAGGCGTAGGTTAGGGCAGGAAGGACAGCGGAATCGAAATAGGTCTTCTTCGTCTTTTGTCGCTTTTTCCTCTTGCTCAGCTCTGGAGCTAGGCAATTGATCATGTTGGTCTCCCGACTTGGCTGAACGTGAGCTAGGGTTTCGGAGGCGGTTGTTCCGTTTTGAAAGTGAACACTGACACAGGTCATTCCTCATGAATTACGGGTCAATCTGCAAACACTTTCCCCCACGCTCTGTTTGAAACCGATATTTACGCTGAATCGCTCGATGCCTGGAGCTTTTCTTAGTCATATACGAAGTTATTACGAATAATTATTTCAACTGCGACGAGCACGAACATTGATTCACGCCACGCCCTGCCGCTGGCTTCTCTTATTTTCTTAGTACTTTTACTTTCTTTACTGGAATGTCGCTGACAACAGCACACTTGCCCGGTAAGCAAAAGGTGCGAGTTCGAGTCCCGTCTGGGGCGAAAGTTTTGTTCACAACCCAGCATTCTTATGAGACATTCGCAAGGCGCGACTGCGGCAGAAAAGCAATTAATAATTGAAAGCAAGTCAAAATCAATTGGTAATCGTAAAGATGAAATTCTTCATGACGTATTGTTGGTTATGATCGACATACGGGATTTTTGTGAACTTTTCATAGTCCTTAGAAGGAACCCATATTCCAGTAATGTTTGCGAGACTGTTGATGAAGGCTTTGTCGAGCTTATTACGTTTCAGAGTTGAGTGGACAAAAGTACGGTGACGATTCTGAGGTGGACATGATTGCCGAAAAGACGTACGAAGCGAGGATTCGAATCAAAAACTGGTTGGATCATCTCGATCATCGAGAAGACCACGAATGTGATGTGAGTGTGACAACCTCACCTAATCAGTAGCTCAGACCTGGAGCACTAGCTTCCTGTTTGTCCTATTTTCGATTTCTGAGTTTTACAAAGGAACGGAATTGGTTCAGTGGCAAAATTGGTTCAGTGGCGTTCCGGGCCAACCAAGCCTCCATCCGGCTTCGGTTAATTGGTACCAGACTTGTTTGGGGATAAAAAAACACTGACTTGTACATCGGCTGGCCCCCGCAAGTCATTGTATAGGCCACATCGCATTCAAATGCCACTACGAATGTACAAATGGAAGTAGAATGCGTGCCGCATCTCAAGAAGGGATTGATCAATGGCAAATGCTTTATCCTTATCCTTTTACAAAGCCCCCTTAGGATGAGTTTGGTATATGTACAGCACTACAGGAATGTATTGCAGATTTATCCTTAAAAAGCGATAATACAGTGTTTCGGATAATAATGAGAGTGGAAGGTGCGGGCGAGGTCGGGCGGAGGTCCAAGGAGCAGCGGTCCAGCAGTATTCGGGTCGACGGCGGGGGGTTTCTTGCGGGTTCAGCGGTGATTGAATCTCTCGAGCGTTCCTCCCATCGCCTTTTGTACGGCTCCTCCTCCTCCTGTAATCAGCAGAAGTCATCGCAGCAACATCAAAGCCTAGAAGCTTCACTCGTAATAACTGATTCCTTTTTTACTGCGACTCTTCCGATGTCTAATCGCGGAGTAGCTGGATTCTGGGAAGGCCATCGAGATTTCGCTTCATTTTCTTTCAGACACTGATGTCATACGCTGGTGAGTTTCAGGGAACATGTGAATGGCGACCGAGCAATTTCTTACTGGAATCAAAAGCTTCTCCCCACCATTGACACCTTCGGCGGAGCAGCCACCATGGCTTTTCTTCCCATAACAGTGAGCTTTTGACGACATCCCGAGACTATCCCCAAATCTAGTCTCTTGCGAAAACTATTGAATTGCCGTTTCGATAACCATTTCTGTTTAATAAAAGAAGAGAAGAATATTTTTCGTGAGTAATATAAACAAAACGTTTTTTTTTTTTTTGGAAAAAAAGAATGCTCGCGAAAAATCTGCAAGTATTATGCATCAACCCAATATTGAACAGCAACGATAACATTTTGAGATTTGAATAGCGTTCTCTACCTTCGTCAGTCAGAAACTTAGAGGAATCTGCATGGAAATTATGTAGCGTATGTGCTGGACAAGTCTAACTGTAGCGTTCTTTAGACCAAACTCTTTTCATAATCCCATCATCGACTCATTTCGTCACAATATGATGTGAGAGACCAAGATGATGATCAATTATCCGAGACATTTTGCTTCGATTACCGTCAAACGTTCGGAGAAATTGTGGGCTACACTACCACCAAAAGTTTGATACCTCAAGAGAGGAAAGTTTGTGAGATGAGGAGCTCAACATCCTTCTCAGGCCGTCAACAGAACCTGCCGGAGCTAGCCAAGCCAATCAAATGACCCGATTATTTTGACAGCGAAAGTCTCTCAGGACATGGACCGCTTTTTCAGAACGGTTATCTGCATTAGGGGCTCATACCAGAAGACAGAACCATGACCTTTTTTTTCTGAACCGGCCTGCCACGAAGTTATACGAAACTGTCGCGAACTGCGATCCGCATCGGTGGGCTCTGCCTATCAACTCCTGACGCCTGGCACCTTTCGGTCCAAGGACTTTCATCGGGTCCACAACACCTCTCCTGCGCACCTTGCAGGAGAAGCGGACCAACCCCTCGGGGACCATGGGGTTCCTAACGGGTCCCTACTGCCTTCCGCAGCTCCCGGATTAGAACCAAGCGCGCCAAACCCTTTAACAACCATGGCGCGAAACAACATATGCAATGAACACATGGAATTAGGGCAAAACCCACATGGCATAAATACAACATATGAACAATACATATTTATTATACGTAGTAACTCACCATCACCTCTGATCTCCCTCGGCCACCTCGCTCAAGGGCAGACCAGGCCAGCTGACTATACGTATTAGACCCCCATCCCGCTCGGATGTTACACTTCTAGGGGGCCCGCACGGTCAGCGGGTCCGAGACGGGGCGCGATACCAGGCTGCTCCCAGACGGGGAGCAGGGGAGGGACCACGACCAGTTAACGGGTGGCGCTCCGCAACCTTCCAGCTCGGAGGGGGACATCCCTCCTCGCCTTCCGGGGCCTCCTCGCGTTGCCCGGTGAACACCGACCAACCCCTGGATGCCAGCATTGGGACACGTATTAGACACTTCAACATTAGCACCTCAACTGCTAGGGGGCTCAACGCCATTCATACACTCACCTGACAGCTAGGTAGACATAGGGACGTCCGAGGCAAGGCAGGTCACCGCTCGCCGCAAGGCACACACGACGACTGCCCGCTGGCACTGACCGTAGGGGGCGGAGCCAATGGCGCAATGGGCGCATTGCGCATTGGCATCCGAGCACGAATGGGCCGGGGCGCACGGTGCGCCCACGGGCAACCGTCGCATCCGCGACAAAACGAGTGGTGAAGAAACGGTCCAGAGTTCGATCCCGGTGATGACTAATTTTCTGCAATACATTGTTTGGCGGCCCCCAGAATTGCCGCCAAATGGCGCCATCGTCGAGAATAGATGTCATTGTCGTGTTTTTGCGGCAATTTGGAAGTGCGTTGCAGAAAGTTTGTCATCCAGACGAAGCGATCGAACTTTGGACAACATTCTTATCGCGCTGTTTTGACATTCCTGGCTGGGGGGGGGGTGGATCAGGCGTCAACCGTGCGGTTCGCACTATTCGAAACAGGTGGTCGCATTGGGGTTGGTTTCGGAGGGATCGCCGGTTTAGGGTTTTTGAGGGATTGTGTGGACTGTATTTGGAGGTAGGTTAGGTTGGGAACAGAGCATAGTAAGAGAAATATTTGCCCGTTTCATTTTGAATTATACCCTTCTCCCGCCGACGCAGTTTGGAGGAGAGAGGGCGAGTTGAGCTGTCTACTGGATTCTCAGGACAAACACTGTAGAAACCCCTGATGGCTGAGGTGGTTGGTCGGAGAAGAGGGAGGCGGGATCATAGAGGCGAGAGCCGCCTGAGTTCTCAGTTGGGCTGGTGGGAATGGGGATCACAGGGGGAGCCTCCTGAGTCTCATGGTGGTGGTGGGGGGTCGCATCGAGACCCCCTAAAGGAGGTGGGTCGCGAAATTTGAAAATGTGCGAACGTCAGGTTGACCTTGGTTGGATCGGTGTTCCTCACATGAGCCTCTACAACATTCAGAAAATCATTTTGAAAAAGCGCTCCGTGTCCTGAAAAACCCCCACCCCTTGTGAGTAGCCTTGAAGACACTGAATTGGCCTGGGAAAATGCTAACTAGCTAACTTGAACGAAGACTACTACTGAGTGAGAGTTTCTGTATGATCCACATAAGCATTTGGTGGGCCCAGTGGAATGCGTGGCGCATGCCGAAATAGTTCAATTGTAGTGAATATTCATTATTATGAACACATATTTAACCAGTTTTCTAGGAATCGGTGAGAAACCAACACTTTTTTTTAGAATCCCTACAAAATCTCATTTTCAGATGACGTGGTGTGACCTTCTTGTTGCCTGTCTGTTCAATCCGATCATCTATCATTGTCCACGACTATTCGATCGCTACCCGAATGTCTTTCTTCACAACAAACGTATCGCCCAAATGGACGAGTTCGCCGGTTTTCTCTACAACGTTCGAGAACGGCGATATTCCCATTGAGCTCGCTGTCGTCTCTTTAGCTGCAGAAATTTCCTCTGTAGTATACCAATGTATAAAGATTATTTATGTGCTGTGAACTCCTATAGTCATCCCGACAAACTTTGAAAGTTGCGGAAACTGTCAGTGGTTAGTCACAAGGGCTGAAATAGCTCTATTCTTCGAGCCAAGTGTTCTTCTATCGCTGTTGGCCCTATGGGGGGGGGGAGGGTGAGCGGAGTGAGCGCGTGGGGCGATGAGGAGGCAGGGTCGGGTCAGCCGTCCTCTGATAGCGTTCACTGATGCTCTTCTGCTCCGAAATTTCACTGGAACTGAACTTTTGACGATCTGCGGCTCCTTTTCAGACACTTTCAGCTGGCGATGATCTGAATTGAAGTTGGATCTCTCAGCGTTATTTTTGGTAGAACATCTTGATTCTGGAGCCGTAAAACCAGCGCATCCGCGACCACGGTTAAGAGCTCTATTGCACCCACCAAAAGTATTTATCTACCTGAACTCATCCTGGGTTATGCCTTTGAGCCGAACAATCGAGGATCATATTCCTATTTCCAAAGGGACACACAAAAAGGGGTTGGTAGTGATGGAGACGGCGCAGGTATGAAGTTTACTGCCATGCAGCATACAGTTTTTCCAGCCCAATCTGTAAACGTGTAAGCCCGCTTCGCAAACGTTGCAACTAATCGCCAAAAAAAAAAATTTCGATCCCAATTTTGAGTCGCTTAGAGTCACATTGGCGCGTGGTTTTGCCACGAACTCATTCCCAGCAAATGCGCTGTAAACTTGTGTATAGGGAATTTTCGAGTCCCTGATTACGATTATGACATTCATTTTGGCATAGCCGTTGTTGAACGCATATTTCCCGATCTAACCGCTGGGAGCGCGCAGACGAGCGGGAAATAGACACCAAATGGAGCCAGCGCCAAAAATGAATGTCATAATTCGTAATCAGGGCGTCGAGAGTACCTCTACACACAAGTTTATAGCGAATTTGCTGGGAATGGCGCATGATATACCTGGCGCCAAATGGCGCCAATTTGGCACCAGCGCCAAAAATGGATGTCACATTAGTTATCGGGATTCTCGATAACCCTTGTAGGATAACTTTTAGCGAAATTCATTTTTGCCAAAATTGATTGCAGGATGGCTTACGAAATTGCTTGCTAGAATGACGAATTGGAGTTATAGAATGGCGAAGTTGGTTGCAACGTTTACGGAATGGGCTGAAACGTTACGGCATTAGCTGAAGCTTTTATAAAATTGGTTGCCAACGTTTCCGAAATGGAGTGCAAGGTTTTACGAATTGGGGTGGAAATTTCTGTAAAATACTCTTACACATGCTGTTAAAGAATAAAGGCAGTAGTGATTAAAAACTTCGGGAAATATCAAAGTATATGTGACAGTGGGTGTACAGTGCAGCTTCTGCTTGAGGACACTTACCTAATCTACAGGGTGGTCCAAAATTATGAGGACCAAGACATTGTGTCGTTAAAAACGCATAGTAGCTTGATGGAACAAACCAACTTCTGGGAAGTATTTGTAACTCTTACCTCAAAGTAATTCCAGAATAGAATTGAGATCTGCCACCTGCCCCGTTTACACGAGCCTTCAGATGAAGGGGATGGCGCGTGCGGTGGCACGCAACTGAAGGCGTGTCCAAATGTTTCCAGGCCTTCTGCTCTGCCTTCTTCAGGGAATCAAACTTTTGTGTTGCATTTATTTGCGCTTGCATCCAGGGTGTGAAATACAGAAATCTAGAGCTATTAGGTGGATGGTTCCATTGTAACAATTCTTCGAAAGCAACGAACTCGAAAAATCGCTTTTTGGAGGATTTTTGCTTTATTCTTGGGTGCTCGGTCCTGTAAGAAGTTCTAAGTAGACTACTCGTGTGGCTTTCTATCCACTACAGATGTGGAGTCTTTAGAGTGTCTGGCTGGGTTTTCACATCAATTTTTTCATTTTGGGTGTACGAAAGTCGACAAGGGGAGACCTAGTTTCTGCATCTGATAATTGTCCTGGTGGTAACTGGAACGTATATCCTGTGGTAACTGTAACTTTCGAGTCCCCGAATTTTCCATCTGTGGTGATTCCAAACTTATTGAAGAGTTGAACTGTTGCTCATAAGGGCTTCTCTGATAGGTTAGACTGCTGCTAGATGTAACGTGCCAGAGCCCCTAGTGAGTTCAATTTGAGGACTGACTCAAAGTGAAGTAGTTATTTCACTAGTTTGAGGACTGACTCAAAGTGAAGTAGTTATTTCACTAGTTTTGAGAACTTCATGAAATTTGGTTTCATTAGGAAGAAGACATTGTACCCTTCACATAGTGCACAGAAAACGAGATGAAAATGGAGCGATACGGAAAAAAGTGGATATGACTGCGCGCGCACGCGGTCCTCATAATTTTGGACCACCCTGTAATTCTTATTCTTTGGTAACAGGAACAAATAGATATACATTATACGAAGTTAACGATACGAAGATTCTGCATCACAACTCGTTCACCTATCGGGTTTTTTTTTGTGAAGATGCGTTTAAACTTCTGGATGATAGTCTTTGTAACAGGGTCGCGCTTGTCTCACATTTGATGAACGCCAAAATGCGCGATGAGGTCAACATTCTGCTGCTCTTTCCTCAGCTTCTCACGACAGGCAGCCGAAATAAAGGAAGTTAAAGGAATCTTCCACGGAAAAAGCTCCGCCCTCATTACCACAGAAAACGATACCTTAAAGGAATCTTTCCACGGAAAGAGTGATCATTTTGTCTTGTGTGTAGGATTAGTATTATCGAAACTAACGCTTATGTTCCGTTCTTTTTGCTATGCTCATGAGGCTAGGGGCCTAAGGGGTATCGTTTTTCTGTGGTAATGGAGGCGGAGCTTTTTCCGCGGAAGATTCCTTTAATAAGAAGACTATACATCCTTACAACATTTTAAACAAGAGTAGCCCCGTGGATATGCTCTGCGGTTATCAAACTGATTTTGAGCTTCTGTTTCCGTCCTTGGGGGATTCCTTCTCATGCCAGTATCTTATGGTCTAGTGTTTGTAAGGAAGAGGAATGGCCTACGGCTAAACTTTATACTGAAAAGTTAACTACAAAGTCGATATTTCCGTGTACATTCTTTCTATTTCTTTTTCGAATCGCTTTTTCAGCAGGTGACGTCGCAGTTTTAAAGTTGGCGTGACGAGACCATTTTCCGCAGTGAATTCCTGGAAGGAACATTATAAAAAACCAATAGAATGATCAATAATTAAACTATTCAAGTGAACCTCAGAAAGTTGAGTCGATGTCTTTGATGAGCCGATTGACAAAACGGTATCTTGGTGTTTTCGGTCGTATTTGAGCCGCTTGAGGACAAATTGAGCCTGAAACGTCCGGCTCGGAAAGGCAGTTCTATCATCGCTCGAGATGATCATTGTATTTAAGCAAGCTGAAAGCAATTTCGAAAGAGCTTAATAAGATGGTAATTGAAAAAGGAAGGGGGGTTAGTCATCTGCGTAAGGCGGTACTAGAAAAGAAACAAACGAAAGGAAGTGGGAGAGCGGTGTGAATGGACACAGGGTGGAGAGGAAGAGAAAATCAAAAGGAAATGAAAGGAATAGCAGCTGAAAGGATTTGAAAGTAGGGATCTAAGAACCAAATGAGTGCTCACCTCCGGTCGTCCAGCGATAGCTGTCCGCAGATTGGGCATATTCACAACAGCAATGCCGACAAGAAATGATCGCGTGGTCATTCCAGTGATGAATATCTGGAAGTGGTTAGGCGTTTGTTATCAGGGCCTCTAAAGCTCCTCGTAGGTAACCACAATATTACAACTGGTTGACCAGTAAAGATCAACCTTTAGCTTTTGTGAAATGTTCTCTGATCGGGCCTTATGAGGAAGGGTCAGATCATCGGTTCGGTACCGCCTTGGGGGAGGTCGCCCACGCATGGGGTGTATTGGTCGGGCGAGACGTACCGTACAAAAAGCTGACTAGGAGTACCAGAGGTCATCCTCTGCATTTCACCTTTCTCCGCTCCCGATCCACCCCTCAACCCTATAGTAGAATCCCACTGGGGTTCTAGCTCTCCTCTTCCTTTCTTCACCTTCGTATTCGTTACTGTTTAATAAATTGTTGTCGTTCCTTTGCTTGCCACCTTGTAAGACCCCGGGACAAACAGGGTATTAATCATTAGCCAGTAGCTCATTCAGAACGCTATACCTAGCTGGTAGGAATCGTCAAAAAATCAAACAAATCGTCAGTCTATATTTCAGTGGGGAGGCATTGCAATAGACCCGATCAAAGAACAAAGGCATTGCTATGACAAGCCGTGCCGGCTCCTGTAATTCCATCTTCAAGGAGGAAAAACCTCGGAATGAGTCAACTGTTTCGCTTCCGCTTTTACACCCCCCTTTCCTCGGTGTTTCCTCTCCTGGAATTGAAAAAAAAAACTTTGGAATTACTGTAGGCGGCATGAACTGCTGCAAAACAAGTGCCCCCCTTATTGGTATACACCCACTTTATCCACCATTTTCGAGTAAAACAAAATAAATTTTGCCATTCTAAAAAAGGAATGCCTTACCTGCTCTATAAGAGACGAGTTGAGGTAGACGGCTTCAATTTGTTCCGGTGATACAAAATCACCTTGAGCGAGTTTGAATAGCGCATTTTTTCGATCTATAATTTTCAGCGCTCCATTCGGCTGCCATTCACCAATGTCGCCAGTATGAAGCCAGCCCTGGAAAGGGAATATGTTCGAAGAAGTCGATTAGGTCAAGTAGAGAGCAGACTTCAAGGAGGAATTTAACCTCCCTTTCAAAAGCGAGAAAGTGTCGGGTGCAGACCAAACACCACAACTGACGACGGCCTCCAAGTAAATCTGGTTAGAAGTTGTTCATAGTGATAGCTGATTTCTGGTAAATGATAGTTGTAATTAGTGACAATCGATAGAATACAACTGCAACAGGCTAATCATTTCATTGGCAGAAAACATTAACATTTTGTGAAGGCCGTTGGTGCATGGTCTGCACCCGACACTTTCTCGCTTTTTGAAGGGGAGGGTACATGGCTGAGGTTAAGCACGTCTATCCTCCATATTCTGCAGGAGGACTGTGCTGATGTGAACACGAGACAAAGCTCGTTACCTCGAGAATTGGGTACCTGTCACATTGGTCGGCTAATTTTTTTCTGAGAAAAATAGCAGGGTCTAACATCATCTGGTCCGAAACACCAGAAGAATCTCACTCAAGACCCTAATAAGCATCTGAGCTTACGATCCCATCAAATATGCGATTTCTTTGGTGGGCAGAGTATATCCCAGAAAATAAGACCGTTACAGCTGCCGGGCAATCCTATTATTTCTTGTTCCAAATCTATCAGCTTTCAGATACGGTCAAACTGAATGTGCAGCAGCTGGTACGCTGAATTTGCCGTTCGATGGCTCCACCGGTCATGTTGGCGGCCCTGCACCTTGGTCTCAGGTCTGCCCTGTTTTTGTCTGTGAAAATCTTTTTGCGAATTGAGTTATCGTACATAGCTCATGGTCAGGTCA